GCATAATGAAAATACCCCAGAAATGCTGGGCTCGGAGAGAGCTCAGTGAGTAAAGTGCTTGCTGTCCAAGTTTGAATCCCTTGGACCCATGTAAATCCAAGTATGGTTGCAACCCAATGGTCATACATGTGATGGGAGGCAGAGCTGGGCAAAGCCCATGGATCAGTTTTAGTCTAGCATACTCAGTAGTAAAAAGCAAAGGAAAAAAAGAGAAACCACCTTCTTAAACAATATAGAAGGCAAGAGTCAGTATTTCAGATTGTCCTCTGACTTCCACACACACACTGTAGCAAGTGTGCAACACACACACACACATACACACACAAACACACACACACACACACAGAGACAGACAGACAGACAGAGAGACAGAAAGAGAGACAGAGAGAGAGAGAGACAGAGACAGAGAGAGAGAGACAGAGAGAGAGACTTGTTTGGGTTCCTATTGCTGTAAAGAGACACCACGACCACAACAGCTCTTATAAAGGAAAAGATGTAATTGGTACTAGCTTACAGTGTCAGAGGTTCAGCCCTTTATCATTATGGACATGGTGGTGTGCAGGCAGACATGGTGGTGTGCAAGCAGACATGGGTCTATAGATAGAGCTGGGATCTGCATCTTGAACCACAGGCAGCAGAAGCAACTGTGTCACTAGGTGTGGTTTAAGCATATAAGACCTCCAAGTCTGCCCCCATAGTAACACACTTCCTTTGACAAGGCCACACATCTTGATAGTGCCACTCCCTATGGGCCAAAGATTCAGACATATGACTCTATAGAAACCATACCTAATCAAACCACCACCTTCCATAGGGTTGTTAGTCATAACACAATGAAAAATTCATCTAGTACAACTTCAAAAGTCCCTGCAGTCTCTCAGTCTCAACAATGTTTAAAAGTTCAAAGTTCAAAGTCTCTTCTGAGATTCCTGCAATCTCTTAATCCCCTATAAAATGAAAATCAAAAGGCAGATCACATACTTCCAACATATATTGGCACAGGATATAGATCCCCATTCCAAAATGGAGGAAAGAGATCATAGTAAAGAAATACTGGACCAAAGCAAGACTGAAAACCAGCTGGGCAAACTCCAAACTCTGCATGATATCAAAGCACTGTTTGGATCTCCAACTCCTTTTAGCTTTGTTGAGTGCAAAACACTTCTTTCCCTTGGACTGGTTCCACTCTCAGTTAGCAGCTCTCCTTAGCAGGTATCTCATGGCTCTGGCATCTCCAACATCTTGGGGATTCCAAGGCAATCCAGGCTTTATCTCCACAACTTAGCACAATGGCCTCTCTAGGCTTCCATGCTGGGGACACCCTTGCTACACACCTGTCCTCAGTGGCTTTCTTTAGTCTCAGAGGGAGATCCCCTAATTCCTTTCTTCTATCCTTGACTTTACAGTCAGAACCATGTTGCTGGAGCTGCCAAGTTCTGCTGCTTGCTGGGGTAGGAACATGACATCTTCACCAGCCTTCTCCTTCCCATAGTTTCCTTTACTGCCTGAGTTTGGCTACCTGCAATTTTCTCTATAGCCCAGGCTGACCCAAAACTCAGAGATCTGCCAGCCTGCCTTCTAAGTACTGGGATTAAAGGGCGACACCACCGTGCTGAGACCTAAGCTGTTCTTTGATTCCTTTTCACAGGTTGGAAGTTTAGCTGAGGGGATCTTGCCCAAAGGTCACCACTCCATTTATTCTATTTCTTCATCTGTCTATTTCCTCAAAGACAGGATTTCACTTCATTCCACTTCCTGGCACCCCTTTCTCTTCAATCTGTACATTTGGTGTTTTTTCCTTGCTCAGCTTGTTTCTTCATTATAAATCTTCATAAGAGTCAGCACTGGTAACCAACCACACAACAGAGTCCATGCCCGGCTATGTTGAGATTTCCTCTGCCAATGCAATTAATCAAAAACTCTTCACTTTAGCATCAGGCAGACTTTTTGGACAAGGGCGGAAGCAGCCACATACCTCACCAAAATATTGCAAGAACGATCTCTAGGCAACCTACCAAAAATTCTTTGAAATCTCCTGAGCCAGGTTCCCACAGTTCAAATCACTCTTTGTCCCACTGTCTTCCAGACTCCTACTATTCATCCCTGCTTAAAGCATTCCACCGACTTTCTAATCCGAACTCCCAAAGTCCACATTCCTCTAAGCAGAAGCATGGTCAAGCCTATACCTTGGTCCCTGGTGCTAACTTCTGTCTTAGTGAGGGTTTCTACTGCTGTGCGGAGACACCATGACCACAGCAACTCTTTAACTGGGACCAGCTGACAGTTTCCGAGGTTTAGTCCATTATTATCATGACAGACATGGTGCTGGAGAAGGAGCTGAAAGTTCTATACCTTGATCTGACAGTAGAAGCAACTGCGTCACCGGGAGTGACTTAAATATAGGTAAGACCTCAAAGTCCACATCACATGACACCCTTCCTCCAACGAGGTCACACCTACTCCAACAAAGCCACACCTCATAATAGTACTGCTCCTTATGGGCCATGCATTCATACACATAACCCTGTGGGGGCCATACGTATTCAAACCATCACACATGCCATATATGAGAAGTTAAACACAGGAAAGTCCAGAGAATTTAATATTGGAGCAAAAAAAGCCTTAAACTCCTACCTGGTATTCAATGGATTAAAGAGAACAATCCTGAAATCATCTGTTTAAAGAAATTTCCATCAAAATAATAATTATTTTCTTTTCTGATAAAGGCAGAGTCACAATCATTAAAGAGAAAAAGAGCCAGTACCTGCTGCTGCAACCACCCTTTGCTGAGGGTACCGGTTGTCTCAGGTTTTACTTTACGCTCTTCTATTGGGAAGCACTGTTCCCGTGAGCCACTTGACCACAGTGGTCGCATTTGCTCAGAGGCTCAGTTCCCAAAGGTGGTCCTCAAAGAGCACTTCACTCCAAGTGGGCTTGAAGCATGTAGAGAACCGTGGCAGAGGCTAGGACTGCACTGCTCACTGGAGCTCACGACCCTACTCCAAGGTCAGCCGTCCACAACTCTGACACAGTCGTGCAGCAGGGGCATGCTGCTCCATCCCTGCCTGCCTGAGTCTGGACAGTGAAAAAATGAGGTTTCCTGGGCATCTGGGCTTGAGCAAAGAATCGATCTAACAGCTGGGAAAGCAGAGACGTTTATTTTGAAGCTTCCCCTAGTTCTGTTTCCCTTTTCTCTGCAGCCCTGCAGGCTCCAAGAGGCGAGGAGATGCCGTGAAATACACAGTTCTGGTCCTCCGCCAGTGAGCTGTCTGTGTATGGGGGAAGCTGATTCTTAACCACGGCTGGTAAAGCCGCCCCTCAGGACACCCCTGTGCACATGGGGTGAAACTTAAAAGCACAGGCCCTCTGGTTCACAATGGCAGGGATCTGAGAGTTCCCAGGCAAGCCTCCCTAGGAAAACGGACAGACAAGCTAGAGACAAATGTTGAGAAAATAATTAAAATAGGGGGGAAAAAAACCCTAAACAACAGCCTGAATAAATGCTCACCAATGAAGCAATGGCTACGATGGTGTATCCGTGTTCTAGGATCTTGTGCAGTGTCAGATATATAAGTTGTTCTGTGGGACAGAGACCCATGCAATATAACCATGTAGGCACCAGATGCTCTCCCACCCTTGCTAAGTTCACAGACTGGAGTTCTCGTTCCAGTCCCTCTGGTTGTGGCTGTGTTTGAAGATGGAGTTGTAAAAGGGGTCATTAAAGTCAAATGTGATCAATAGAGCTGGCTCTAAACCAACATTTCTGCTGTTCTCATAAGAAGAAATTAGGACACAAACACACACAGAAGGAAGATCTTCTGAGGACAAGGGCGAAAGCCAGTCATCTGCACGTCGGGAAGAGAGGCTTCAAACATGACAACAGTTCTGACCCCTTGATCTTTGCTTTTCTGTCCCAGAACTGTGAGGAAAGACTTTCTTGATGTTTACAGAATATAGACTGCCTTACCTATTAGTGCAACTTCAGCCAAAGAATCCTTACTACGAGATGTCAGAAAACACTGAGGTATTGCACAAGTTTGTATCGGCCTTGAAAAAACAAGTGGAAGGGCCACTCTTGTCTGGTCACAGTGGTCACACACGGGAAGAGATGGGAGTGGGGGTTGAGATGGTGACTAAAGGGGACTTTAGCCTTAGAAGCCACGGTTAAGAGTGCGCCAGGACTATTTGCATAGCAAATTTCAAAAGCCACCTTCAGGCTGGGGATGTAGGTCGATCTTAGACTGTATGAATTAGCACAAAGTCCAGATTCCATATCAGAAATATAAAAGAAAAAAGTACAGTGGTCAAGGAAAGGGTGAAAGGGGGAGAGAGAGAAAGAAAAAGAAAACAGAAAAAGAGAAAACCCAAAACGCAACCTTTTTCAGGGCACTGTCCTGAGCACGCATGCAGCACATTTGGGCAGCTGCACCCAGCTCTCTCCATGGGGGATTTACTCCACAACCGCGACCCTCTTTATACTCACAAGCCTGCACCTCATAGTACCGTCTGTCTTCACAAGGCTTTGGTCCTCTCTCCAACCCTCAGGCCTGGCACACCAGTTCCCCGTTAACTCTGAGAGCAGCTCAAGTGCCAGTCATCTTATTACAGTGCTCTCAAGCCTTTCTAGGTGTATTTTCTAGGCACACCCTCATTAGCTTATTTGTATTGACAACCCTACTGTCTAATGGTGCTACCGCCAAACAATGCTCCTTTGGTTTCAAAGAGAGGAACGACAGTCATGTTCTCTACTGGGTCGTTTTGCCGTCAGTGTATCCCAAAGGCGACCATTTCATCCGAGTAGCTCAACGGTTGCCCACAATCTAAAGAGCAGACTGTAATCAGGATATTAAGTTCTTCCCTCAAATTGTGGAAAGGAGACAGCCACATTTCTGGGTCATCTCAGATCCATTTGCTGTAAACTCTTATGAAAAGAATTTTACTTAATTTCAAAGCCACAGTAGGTCTAAGTTGACCCGCTAATGCCCTCTGGCAGGCCTTACCTTTTCATGGGCTTGGGTGAGCACTCTCTCTCCAGGTTGGAGCATGTATGTTTCACATGCATGGCATTATAGGAAGTGTGGGTATAGTCATTTTCATCACTGTAGTCAGGGCCAAGCAATGTCCGGGCCCAAGTCCCCATGTCATAAGGAGGAAGGGTCCCTCCAAATTCAGAGGGCAGAAATTCGGGGTGTATAAGCTGGTGAAGGCTGTTTAAATTGTTACCATGTAGGAAAATCTGGAAAGGAAAAAAAAACAACACAGAAATTTAAAATACGACAAGTATTTAGTCTAATACACAATTCAGCAAAAGTAGACTGTATGTGTCTCTGGTGACCATGGTTTTCAAAGAGGCAATTGTTTTTTGCCCATGGCTTAGTTATCATAAAAAGCTATTTTATTGCTTAGAAAATGGACTGAATTGATAGTTGTTTAAAAAAAAATAAAGTTTAAGAATAGAGTGGAAATTATTTGGCCACCCCTCAAATTTGCACACACGGTCATCTCCTAGTTACTGCTGCTGAGAATGGGGGGTCATACCAATCGCTCCAAACTACTCACGCTTTGAGTGCCCTTCTATCTGAGCATTCTGGCCCCCAGAACCTCCCCAGTCCCATCAGCATCGTCTCGGGCCACACCTATTGCAGCCTGGGTCTTTGCCCACTCTGCTTTTCCTCCCTAAATCAGTCCCATCCCCTACCCATGCTGATTCTCCACACCCTTCTCCCCATGAGCTCTTCTGTAGCCGATGGCTTCTAGCTCTGCCCCAATGTGTTCCATTGGGTCTTAGGGAGAGAAAGAGATGATATTTTACTCTGCTAACATAGCCTGGATTTCCCAAGATGGTGTATATGTACTAGAGAGAAATTCAATCAGTTCCTGTTTGATGCAGAAGCGTGACCTGAGCTTGTGTTGTGGGAAGCTCTTCGGGGCGGATTTCCCTTCCTGCCTGCATAGAGTACGGACACCCAAATGGGTCTGTGCTCTCTGCACAGTGTTGAGTGAGCTAAGCGGGCCAAAATGAGGGAGGGGGCTTCACATTTCAGGTATCTTTAGATAACTTCACAAATGTCATGTAACACGTAGATAATTGTCACGAACTACAGTTTAGAAACTAATCTTGAAAGTTGATTTAAAGGCAATCTGTGATGACGCTGGTTCCCAGAAACATCGTAGGCATGAACTAATCCAGTGCGTAAGTTACACACAATTAACCAAGTGGAGTGAAGAACACCATCAACTATATGCTTGGACATACATGCTGCAGCTGACAGTGGTGACATCGAAATGTGAGCTTTAAAATACCCATGTTTGGACTTCAGAAGCAATCGTCCGTTACCTCATTCTCTTCATTCTGCCCTGGCCTGTAAAAAGCCTCAAGTAAAGACAAAAGAGAAAAGCGTGGAGCTCTTCCGGGTGCTGCAGGGCCTGGGACCACAGTGCGCATTTTCTGACATTGCAGTCGGATATGACTGAACGTTAATAAAAAAGGATTTGTTGGGAATAAATTAAAATATTCTTGCTTTTATGAAACTCCATAGTAGATGCTGGAGTATTAGAAGCATACGAAGTCCCCTCCCTGGTGTTCACATTCTGTGCTTATATCCACACGACCTCAGATCTTAAAGGACAGGGCCTGCTGCTCACAACGGCAGTTCTGGGATCCCTCTGCTGCAGCGCAGCAGAGAGGAACATGGAGGTAGGAAGATGGACCCGCTAGTCCTGGAACAACAGCTCCAGAAACCGCCTGCTCTGGTTCAGCAGACAGTGCCCACTGTGGGAGGAGCTCCCACGGCCCCCATGCTAGGTAGAAGATGCAGGCTCTCGGAGGCCTAAAGTTATGTTGCAGACAATGCCTGGCATGTCGTTCTTGATACTGATACTGTCCTGAGCAGACTGTAGAATGTCTCAGAGAGTTCTTGCTTCTTGATGCTGGTGATGTCTAGTTCCCAGTTCTGTCCTTGTTTGGAAACAGGGACTTGTCCTTCTTCCATAGTCTACTGAAATGTTCCCCAACGACCAAGAAACATCCAAGTGTGTGTGTGTGTGTGTGTGTGTGTGTGTGTGTGTGTGTTCAGGCTACTTCATATCAGCAGTCACATTTGAGGTAATGGATATCTTATAATTGTGATGGTCATTCTACAATGAATTTATATTATGTGTCCTAAGCACACGATGTTTACTTGTCAAGTATGACTTAGTAAAACTAGTGGGGGGAGAGATAAAATGTGAGAAGGAATAAAATTATCAAGTGTCTGGTATGTGAATGGCATCTTGCTCTATGTTTTCATATGCCGTCTCATTAAATTGCTCCAAAGAGTCTGCGGTGTAGGAGTTAGTCTCCCCACATAACAGAAGAGGACAGTGAGATTCAGAGGAGCTAGCGGGTGCTTGCTGCTCTGCCAAACAGAATGCCAAGCCAGCCCTGCTTTGATGAAAGAGGCTGGCTTCTCACATGTCGACTCAGGTCATTATTATTTCAAGTCTTCTTTTAAAGATTATCACATCCAATGGGAAATGCTTTCAGCCTTACTTATGATGGATCTGGCTGTTACCATCCAAGAGCCGAGAGAGGAAAACGTATAAAGACCCATTTTTCATAGTGACGATACAGGACAAAATATTAGCTACTGACATAGTCCATAAACAAGAAGTAGCCCCTGGGTGAATGCGTGTAATCCTAGAACTCTAGACGTGGAGGCAAAAGGATTAAGAATTTGAGTCTGAGGGCTGGAGAGGTGGTTCAGCAGGTAAGAGCACCTGCTGCTGCTGCAGCAAAGCCCAGGTTCTGGTGCCAACAAACCACAAGGCAGCCCACAGCTGTCTAACTCCAGTCCCGTGATATCTGACGCCTTCTCTTGGCCTCCATTTCATTGCATGCTTGTGGTACATGCACATACATGCAGGCAAAGCACTCACTTACATAAAATTAAAGTAAGTCTGCACAAAGAATGTGAGGCTAGCCTGAGTTACATCATAAGCTCCCCCACAAACAAAACACATACCCCACGAATACAAGAATGAGAGAACCGAATAGGAGCAGGAAGTGACTTTGTGCGCTACTCCCACAAGCATTTGTAGTGAAACTGGCATCTGGTATTTGCATGCCTTCAAAGTGTCTTTTTGTTTGTCTGGCACTCTGAAAATAACCCATTATGCCAAGTTTCTGATTAAATACAAGTCATTTGTAAACTCCTGCTAAGGTGCAAATGATCAAAAGTTACAAAACCATGGTAAAGCACCGACAATCCATTCAGAAGCGAAAAGACGCTTTTTTTCTCATTACCCGCTTTCTTGTCTTGTCTTTAAGGAATGGCTTGATGAGCGTGTACAGGGCATGGATGTACCAGGGCTGGTTGACAAAATGGACTCCTCCGAAGCGAGCAGGAAAGCTGTCCTGGGAAGGGAATACAGAGAGCAAGAGAGCACATCAGTTAGCGACACTCGCCTAGGGGACAGCCGTGTAGCAATGTAGGTGACAGCCTGCTCTTCTGGCAGAAGCTCTCACTTCCGGTAAAGAAAGGACTTGGATGGTCAGCTCCTCGCCTGCCTACCTTTCCCTGCTATCCTCTTGCATTCTTTATCCTCCTTTCAATCAACAGCCTAGGAATGATGCGTAGGTCAGGCTAGTCTTCCAAAGCAGCAACATCTGAGTACAGATTGTGTGGGACCCACATCACTAGGACTCAGAGGTGTTCAAGGCATTGGGTTAGCACACTTCAGTTCCTGAAAGCCCAAGCACAGCTCTCAGACTCTGTTCTCTTTCCCTTCTCTCTCCATGATGTTGTGCCATCTTGACAATAGCCTAGAATCTGAACTTGTTGGGTGAGTTGAGCAGGTTGCATAAGACGAGACTGCAAAAGGACCCCAGAGGATCTTACTAGCTGAGATTCTCTGAATTGACCCTCATCTGACAGCATGGTTGCTTTCTGACCCTCTGACAGCATGTACTATTGCTCGCTTTCTGTACTTTCTGTCCACTTCATCCTGGAATCATACAGCAAATCCTAGAGAAAAATTAATGCTGCTTGAGCGATAGTTGACCACCCTAACTGAACAAGATCCCCCTCCTCTGCATTTCAGCACCGTTTGTAAAGATCAGGTCATACGAGTGTTTTCGTAATGGCTCTTAGCTTGGAGTCCAGGCCAGAATAAGGGCCCGTGCTTTGTAAGCTGGTAAACAGCTTGGAGGATTTCAGATCCACAGGAGGGGAAAGGCCAGGGAGTCCTGATGTGTGATTTCAGCAGACCATTGCTAAAGAAATTGAAAAAGAAGCAACACCTAAATGCTATTTGCGTCACTAAGTGGGCTGTCAATCAGGTTCATCACAACAAACGACTTGAACAAGACAAGAAGAAGCAGTTCAGGCAATGAGCACTCTCCGTGGGTGTATGAAATGCCATGCTTGGTTCTCTTTTAGTGTAATCACAAGCAAAGAGGGTTATTAACTTTTTCCAGAACTCTCTGTATCTACAGGCTCCCTGGGCATATGCCATGAGGAGACCTAGTTTCAATGAAAGTGTATAGAACTGAGCTTAAGGGCTGACATTTGAAAAACCTTAAAAATAACTTTTACTTCTAGCTAGACATTTTACAAAACAGGAAAGAACGATATATTTTGAAGGCTAAACTAGACAACTTTAGTTTATTTATTCATTCCATTTCTCTTCATTTTTAAAAGTCAATGGAGCCACCACCAAATATCGGGACTGAGGGATCATTTACACTAACTTAAGTACTTGCCACGGTGTGTAATGCTCTCCAGACATGACATGGCTGCTGCCCACTTGAACGCTCCACCAACTGTGATTACCAAAGTAGACCTCACACACATTTTGGCCCATTACCCTCTGTCAAGGAGAGTGGAAGGGAGGCCTGACTACCGTCCAGTGCCCAGTAAGTCTCAGAAAGAGTAGTTCCCTTCCATGCAGGAGCTGTCCGAGGTTGCCTTTGCACTTGTACGTAGTTTCTCACCCTCACTCATCCAGCTAGACTTGGGTAGAATTGTTTCTTTGGTCTGTCTGGGAGACTGGATGTTTGTCTCCCAAGGAAGTTTATGAACAGTGGTGATCTTACTCTAGCATCTACTTTCAGAAAAGCCAATGTTTTAAATAAGTTAAGTTTTTGTGTGTGTGAGGAGGGGAGGTGGCGGTTTTTGCTTGTACTAAGCGTTGAACACAGGGCCTTGTCCATGCCAGGTAAGTGCTGTTTCAGCAAGCTACATGCTTAACTCAATGTTGTCTTTTTATGTCTAGTTCAAGACTGAACAATGTTTTTTTGTTCCTTAAAAAGAAGAGGCCACCCTACAAGGCTGCTCCCTTGTAACAAGGGCTACGCCCCAGTCTCCCTCTTTCTGGTCTTTCCGTTCTCTTATTCAGAAGTGTAACTTGCATGATGAGTGTGTGCTCTGAGAGGCTACAGGAAAAGAACAGGAATGAAGCATTTATTCATAAAGCCTGACTTTATTGTCTCCCCCCCCTTTACTGGAGTCTTTTGTTTTCTATATTTTTAGGTTAGTAAAGGGAAAAAAATTCTGAGAAATGCTCAAGAAGAGACAGCAGGGAAAAAACATCACAATGATAGTATTAACCTTTAAAATCACCTAGAGACACTTAGTTTCTAGGCTATGAAACCTCCGTCATCAACGACATCAACAACTGTCCTCTGTTTACACAGGGGCGCTTGAAAGGAAACGCTCCCTTGCGGAACTCTCTAGTTTTGCTCAGGTTCATGAACCTTCCAGGGAGACATTGCGATTTCCATTGCCTTCATTCAAGTCAGCCCGTGAAAATTTGCAAACAAAAGCACACGCACCCGAGCCTTGGAATTCTGGGTTTGGGTTCAAGTAGAAACAGGGTTGGGGTTATTTTTCTTCAGGTTCCTCCCATAAACTTCAAATGCGGGGTCTTCCTGTTTGATAATGGCCACGTGTGAATGTTTGAGGCAAAGCCTGTCTGTGTATGAATGTGTGCATGTGTGTGTGTGTGTGCACACGCACACACGCACTCATGCGTGCACACACACATGTGCTGCGTGCGTATTCACAAGTACATACAGAGGGAAATACTGAAATTAGGAGACCTGTTGCTTTAGTTTGAATACGGAATGTCCTCCATGGTCTCATTATTTGAGTCCCAGGTTGTAGAGATGTATTGGGATATTGTGGATGTCTAAGTCAAAGGGGTGGCCCTTTGAAGGCTCCATACCAGCCCTACTTCTGCTGTGATCTACGTTTCCTGACCTGCCAGTCTCTGGCCACTACAGACCAGGCCACTCCAGCTGCTAAGCCTTGCTCACCGCGATCAGCTGCTTTCTCTGAGACTCTTAGTGACAGAAGTCCTTCCTCCCACGAGGCCCTGATGGGAGTTCTGTCATAGCACAGCCATGGTGAGAGAAATGACAGACAAATCCAGCTTCTCAGAGTTAGCATCTGCCAGTGCAGCATCCTTGGCTGACCACACAGCCAACTGCAGTTAAAGGGGAAGCTGCCATCACTCAGCATCTCCCGCAATCCTACGGGGTTTCATGGCGATGCCTGCCTTATGGACTGGAACAGATCTCAGGTTGGCTGGCCTTGATCCAATCAGTTCATCTCCTGCCCCTCTTCATTTCAGCACATACTTATGAGGGCCCGTTATGCCAGGCACTGGGTCCATCGGGGCTCCATTGTTTAAACTGTACTTATTTTAAATGATGTTAGTTGCCAGAGTTTTTTTCTGCCTTTCATAACCTGCTGGTTGCCTGTGTCCCTCGCCACACTAGCAAAAGCAGCCTAAACTGTCATCAAGGTCATAAGAAAATTGAGTTGGCAGTATTCCTGCATGGAACACGCTGGGAAGCTTCAGGGGAGATCCGGGACCTCCATCCCCCTGACAAGCAGCGATGCCTGCATCCATCCAAACCTATGATGTCAGTGGAGACCATCTGGAAAGAAAGGTCTTCCTTCAAACTTGCATCGGCCATGATAGTTTCTTGTCTTTTCCCACTGGAAACTTCTATTTATGTATTTATAAACCATTCCACCCAAGAGGAGAATACACTTTCTTTATGCATGTCCATGGGACATAAAACAGATCAAGACAGAGCAACCTGGGCCACAAAGAAACCTAAACTAAAGCCAAATAAACGCAACAGCAAAGCTGTATTCAAAACTGGAAATGGGCTCCAACTAGAAAAAGAACGATCTCAAAGAATTGGAAACCACACAATTCTATACAACTCATGGATGGATCACAGAATGTCTCAGGAAAAAAATTTCAGAATATATGTAACTGAATGAAGATGAAAACAGAACACATTGAATGTCCGGGATGCAGCTGACCTACGGCCAGAGGGACATCCGCAGCACCGAACGCGGATTCAGCCAAAAAAGGAAAGGTGCAAATCAACACCGTGAGACTCGCTTGAGTTTGGAGAAGAAAACGAAGCCACAGAAAGAAGAGAGGAAACAGTGAAAACAGCAGACGTCAATGGTCTTTGAAACGGAGAAACGGTCAAGGAAATCAATGAAACTAGGAGTTGATGATCTAGGAAGGTAAATGAGGTTTCCTAGGCTTTCTTCAAGACTGATTAAAAGGGAGATCACAAAACACCAATGTCAGCAATAAACCTGTGCCTATCACTTGGTCAGTTTCAAAAGGACAGTCGGGGGGCAAGGTTACAGCTCTCCATGGGGACTTGACAGCCTAAAAACAGGAATCACTTGAATTTCAAACTTACTCAGCTCATCAGGAGACAGGTGATTCTAACAGTCCTCTAATTACTAAGAAAATTAATATCGTCATAAAAATAATTCTTCAGGCTTACATGATTTGATTAGAAAAATCCAATTTCATACAATCTCTTCCAGAAAATAAAAGGAACATGTTTCAATTCCCTCCTGAAGCATATACCAAGACAAGAATAATACTAACCAATCAAATTACAGGCTGTTCTTTATGAGTGCAGATGGAAAATCCCTCACAAAGTATTGGTAAACAGAACCTGGTGATTTATGAGTGGGATTATACGCATTAGGACTAAGTAGGGTTGACTCTAGGCCTACAAATCTGGTGCACTTTCAAAATCGGTCTATGTAATTGTATTAACATCTTGTAGCTGTTATGTCTGGTGCTTTGACATATGGGATCTTCCTGACTAGGGAGGGGCCGTCTCTCTGCTGAGTGAGGACGCCAATGAGGAGCCTTGGAGCTCTCCTCTCCCAGCCAGATGAGTCACCCCATCTCACACTTCTCCGAATGTCTTTCTCAGGCTCTGGAAAGCTGCACTATTGTTCCTTTGCATTGGTACTCCAGGCCCAGAACCCAGACAATGTGGGAAGGCCCCACACCCAGGACTCCTTGAGATTATTCAAACTAACCAGCTTAGGCCTCTTTCTCTTTCTTATTCATTCTTTA